AGCATTCCTAATGGATGATGCCACACACATAACATGCATAAACAATTGTTAGTAATTATTGAAAGTTGAGCATTAGACTGTACATTAAAACACAACAATGAAGGCAAAATGCAATTCTCATCTTGAAGAAGTTTATGGTGAACATTTTATAAGTTAAGCCAATAAGAATCAAAAGCCCTTCGGATATTAGTTGCAGGTCTGCAACTAATCTGGACTGCTATGTTTCTTACTGATTCTTGGCGTTTGTTTTCTCATATATAAAACAAGGGATTGCATTATTTCCCGGGTCTATTGCAGGTATACATTTCCAAGTTTGTTTGAATAAAATGTATTTTAAATCCATGGATTTGTAACACTTCCTGTCAAATGGTATTTTAACATTTGTATTCCATGGATACTTTGGATGCAAAAGAAGCCTTTGCACATTCACTGTTCATGCTTAGGATTCTGTGCATACTACATTGAAAAAGCTAGGCTATGAGTTTGAGCATTTTGATATGCCATCCTAAAATTTAATTTACTTAGCATTCCAGAAGTGGAGTTTATTTATTTACCTATGGAACAGCATAAATAGAATACTGGGAAATATCTTTCAGGAAGAATTTTCCCCAAGAAAATCCTACACAACTTCAGTAATTTTCTTCCCTTTTATGAGCACAAAATTCAGACAAAAATATTTCCATTAATACGGAGGTATGGCTGATGCACTAGGCTTTCCAGCTTTTTTTGTGATATGACTGAACAAGTGTATGAAATTGCCAGAAAGTATTTTCATTGCTAGCAGGAAACGTATTTTAAAATTGTGCTCAGGAGGCATAAAGGACAACAAATAAAGTGTTGCTATACTGTTTAAAAGATTATGAACGAACATGAATTAATGGAAGAATTGATCATAAACAGCATGAATTTCAGTCTACTATATGTTTCCATCTCATTTTGCAATAACAAGGGGTTATGTGCACTGACCAAATGTCAGTTGCTCCAACCAAGTCTTGATATTTTTTTTGTCATGATATGTTGATGCTTAATTCTAAATTGTAATTTGGTTGGTGTTGGAAACTGAGGTGTATAAAGAACCCATCACTGGAAATAGAAACAAGATAAAATATAAAAGAAAGAATTGATAGCTGGCACAGGAATTTAACACAGAAAATGGAAAAAAGCAAAGAAGAAAGAATGGCGTGTGCGTGTGTGTGCGCGCGCGCATGTGTGCACGTGTGCATAGGCAGACATGTGGAGTAATTAGGCAGGGAGAGTAAAAGTGCTTCAGTGTAGAGGTCGTGTCCTTTTTATGAGATGAGGAAATTATTTCTGGACAATTACCATTACTTCTTGTTTTCCAGAGTAATATGCAGTCCACGGGCTGGAGAGCCAATCTGGTACTTAAAAAGCAGAGATTCTTGCTTTCTTTGAAGCAGCGTAGCATCTCAGGGTGGTGGTTGAGTACCACAGAAACAGACATGCATGTTCTCTACATGCTGGAAGCAGTCATCCTGTTGCTAAGGAAACAGCCTCACTCAGTAAGGGTCACCTTTGGAAACAACTGCAAGACTTCAAAGCAGATCAATAGAGAAACACCGAGACCTGAGCTTCCTAGCTAATGCTGTCTCTATTTTAAATATCCTTTTCAACAAATGTTTATTTATGTGATTTCTGTTTGGTGGGCAGTAGCAAGGCAAAATTGAATGTGCAATAAATCAAGCCCGGTATTTTTCAAGCTCTGGCTCTTGGAGATCTGTGGTTTTTGATAGATGCGTTGAGTGTGGGATTGTGCAGGAACAGCAGGATGGAGATGGACTGATACCAGGTTTAAAAAGAGATGCTGCATTTATGACTTCATTCGAGGGAAAGGTTCCACTCATTAAAAAATGTAAATTCTTTACTCATACAAGCATACTGCATTACTCATTTGTTCACATTAGTGAGATTTTTAATTTCTGAAAACATCTTGTCATATCTTAGGCTTATGCACTTTTGTGTGTCACTAGAGAAGATTTCATTCATGTATTCATTTGTTCATTCATTTCTCAAATATCTTTGATTTTCTACTGTTTCAGGTACTCTGGGGATAAGAAGTGAATAGAACATATTTAAGCTCTGGGGTACTCAATCTAAAGTAGAAAGCAGATATAGAAAAAAAAAAAAAAAAGGCCGGGCGCGGTGGCTCAGGCCTGTAATCCCAGCACTTTGGGAGGCCGAGATGGGCGGATCACGAGGTCAGGAGATCGAGACCATGCTGGCTAACACGGTGAAACCCCATCTCTACTAAAAAATACAAAAAAAAAAATTAGCCGGGCGAGGTGGCGGGCGCCTGTAGTCCCAGCTACTCGGGAGGCTGAGGCAGGAGAATGGCGTGAACCCAGGAGGCGGAGCTTGCAGTGAGCTGAGATCCGGCCACTGCACTCCAGCCTGGGCGACAGAGCGAAACTCCGTCTCAAAAAAAAAAAAAAAAAAAAAAGAAAAAAAAAAAAAGCCCAAAGAAACAGTGGAATCACCTGCAGAGGGAACACAAAGAGATGCTTATGATTTTTTCCTGGGGAGGTGAGGGAAAGCATTTGGGGAAAGAAAATGCCTGATCTTATCCTGGAAGGATGGATTAGAATTGAACAGGGAATCTAGTCCTAGAAGTCCCAAGACAGAGACAATGGCAAATACTAAGTGCAGAGAGGTGAGAAAGAGATTCCATTTGGCTCTATTGATGAAGTTTAGGATATATTATGAAATGTGTTTGGACAGGAGGCCAGAAAATGAAACTGGGCCTGGATCATAAAAGTTCTTACTTAATATAAAAATAAGGATATCCTTTACTGTTAGTTTTTCAGATTTTTAAAATTTAATGTTATAATAAATAGAGCCTAGCTTGGTGTTATTCCTCCCTTACCCCTTTGACAATATAAAATTTGTTACATCTAAATGCTTTCAGATGCCTTAATGAACTGGAATTTCAGTGGCTATTTAACATCTAAATCAAGAATTGTAAAATTTAGTGATAAATTCTTGCTATTAACAATCACAAACATATTTGATTTATTAAAAGATGAATAATTGATTTTTATAACTGGAGTTAGGACAATTTCTACTTTCAAGGTAACTAGTAAAATTAAGTTGTTGGTTTCAACCATTTCTTGAAATCATATACTTTTTTTGGTAGAAAATTTTAGTGACAAATGCAGATAGCTATTCTATCTCCTAAAGTGTTATGAGCCACACTGAAATGCACCTTGTTAACTCTTCCTTTATAAGGGACAAGAATGAACCTTGTGTGCAAGAAAATGTGGCGGGTTCCGATGTTTGGGAGCTATAGCTTGTTGGCATCATCTAAGTTAGCCACCTGTTCTAGCCTGCATTTGCTGAATAAATTAGATGCTCTTGGGAGAGTGTATGCAGCTGACTGGGTTGCCTTGTTACCAAGGCAACCAATTTTTCTTCTGCTCTATGACTCTGAAAGGTTTCATAACTCATTAGTGCTCCTGTGGGCATCAACATGACAAAATTCCTTTCGTTTCTTTTTTAAGTTCCTGGTCAAGATGATGAGATTAGTGACAATTAATAAATACTCTCACCATATTTTTTTATTCATACAGGATATTTTCCAAATGTTTGAAAAACTTAGGTCCAAACCTTAAAGGCACAAACGTAACAGTTAAATGGAGGAATATGCACAATAATGAATAAAAAATGAAAAATATTTTCAATCTCAGATATTTTCAAAGATTGAAAATCATTTCAAAGTGGAGTTTATCTAAGGCAAAATATGTAAAAACATAGATTCTCTAAGACAGTGGATGAAAACTTATTTTTATAATGATTCCAGCTGTTATCTCTATCAGGCCTTTTTTACTCCGATACGGCACAAGAAAGAGCTCAATTTAGCAAAGCTGTTATCAGATCCATAAAGTCATTAATTCAGGGGCTCAGTGATCATTTTCAGAATGCCACAGGGCCCAAGGAGTCGTGGAGGGATGGCCCACCCTACACTACGGGAACACCATCAGAAATTGATGCAGGTTTTTAATCCCCAAGTGACATTTAGACCCCAGGATATTTGTTTTCTTTTATTTTGTGATCCGTATTTGTTGTTTTTCCTCTCTCCTTTATATGTTGTCCCTTATGATTTCATATCTTCATGCATTAGAATAAATCAGTTAGCCTCCCACACAGGTAAATTTCTTAAATAGTCACCTTATACTAGGAATTCTACATATTGTTTCACTTGCTTCATTTCTAACGTCAACTCGATGAGATGGATATCATTTATCTCATTTTACAAGTGAGGAGACTGAGGCCGAAGGTAGCAGAGTTGGTGTTTAGATTGAGTTGTAGCTCATTCCAAAGCCCTGTTTTCCCACTATGAAATGGTGTCTCTAACGTTCTATAATAATGATATATATCCTTTCTGAACATTGGAGTATTAGGGAGAAAAAAACCCAGATGATATTTTGAGACATTAAAATTAAGCCTCTAAGAGGGCTCTTGTTCTATTTATTTTTATTTATTTATTTTTTTGACAAGTGCAATGCAACTCTAGGCTCTGCCAAATTCACTGTAGTGCTGAAGCTTTCGTACAGATTATGGGAATAGCTTTATCATACATGGTACTTTCTTTGACACTGGTTTTTATTATCCTTCTATAAGTACTAGAGAAACTGGTTGAAACTGAACCTTAAACTCCCATTTTGTACTGATCTTACTTGTTGTTTGCAGTTGAAGAATAACATCCTGCTGATATCCACTGCAGGACCACTAGGACCTCTGTTAGAGATTAAGCTCATGTTCTGATTGTAGACAAACCTTAGTGCAATTAGATTTACCCTAGTTTCTTATTTTATAGTGATTCTGCATCCTGAGATTTCAAAGGTGGAACTGATATTTTCAAATACATAGTTCATTGATAGATACAGGAACATTTTAAGATATGATCACACCATGAATAGACAGTTTTTAAAAAGTACAATTAGCAGTGTCCAATAAAGCAGTGCAAATATTTTACATGGTGTGAATGCAGGGGGATTATGGTTTTTATTAAGTACATTGTGATTGATCTCTGCTATAAAGATTAACACTTCACTAGACATCATAAACATGCAGGAGGAGCACAAAGACGTTATTCTTCTAGAATACAGGGATTTGACAAAAGAAGAAAACACATACTTGCATTTGCTACAAGCATGATGAATTTGCTTTTTTTCTCTCCTATTTCCAGCATCAGTGTAATGTCTGAAAGTTAGAAGAATATGGCAATTATTTGCAATCTGAAAAATAATGTTATGCAAAGGCATTCTATTTGCATTTTGAGAAACACCTTTATTTTCATTATTTGCTTCTGCCATTCTCTTCCACATTTACCTAGATTAGATTAAAATACTACTTTTGTGCTCCAAATAGTGTTCTGGTGCCCTTGTTTATTCAATGTGCTTTCAGCAACCATTTAATGGTGTCCCTTGTTTGAGGTACTCTGCTAAGGGCTGGGCACCCAGAGATGAACATGCAGTTCCTCCGTACCATGAGCTCAGCTTTGTGGGGGAGACCTACAATGCAGTCAGTGGTCTCCGTAATTTAAGCACTGTCATGGAGTACAATGCACCTGTGGGTTGAAGGATCTATTAGAAAGTATCTTCAAATGGAGAGATTCTTCCAGCATCTACTTACCCTCAATCTGAATCACTCTCAGTACTTTGTACTGCAGACCATTGTCCCTATTACTTGCCCCAAACATGCCCTGCCCTCAAAGAATGGCAATCCTCCCAGATGTCTGCTCATCTCTATTGAGTATTTCTGCAACACCTATGATTAAGTTGCATGATGACCATTAGAGGCCACAGCACCAATCAGGAGAGCAGCTTACAGGCATGAAGTCCGCGGGCACTTCCCACCAACGTTGGAAAGCAGCACATTCATGGGGTCAGGATTCATTCTGCTGTTGTTGTAAATCTAAATTTAAGTTCCTCTCTATTTTCACACAAAAGAAATCATATTAAATATATTGATCTCTAACTCGATTTGTTCTCAGATAATTTGAAGACCTTTTGGTGTACTCAAGTCACAAAGGATATTTGGTGGTGGACCTTGGACAATCCAAACCAAACCTCCAGGGAGAAGGCAACCAAGGCTGTTCTGGAGAGCCCAGAAGCAGCAAATCATTAAGTCATTTCCATGATGGACTCTACTCACACTGCCTTTTGCCTCTGGTTGTCCCTGTTCTACTTTATAAATTCCTAAGAGAGAGAATTTTTATCTAGGTTGAGCCACATGTCTGTCTCTGCACTAGACTCAGTCAACCATGGCAGAAGAGACGGGTAGAAGTGACCACTGGAAGCGTCATTATGAGCTCTCCGGCCACCCCAGCTTGTGCTCTGCAATTACACTAGTCTTTCCCTCATTTCCTTGAAAGGAGCCAGTTTCTAAATAAAAGCAGCTTGCCAGCACTGACTGTCAATTTATTGTCTCAAGTTTGAACTACTAGGCAAGGCCTCTTTTCTAAACTTTATTTCTTCTTACTTTATGTTATCAGGATCACTAATTTTTTTGTGTATATACATATATATACACACACATATTTTTTGTGTATATATGTGTGTGTGTAAATATATACATACATATATACACAAAAAGTGATCCTGATAAAGTGTGTATATATAATATATACATAAATAATATATAATATATAAATATAAAATATGTATAATAGATATAAAAAATATATATATAAAAATAGAGACAGGATCTCACTTTCACTATATTGCCCAGCCTGGTTTTGAACTCATGAGCTCAAGCAATCCTTCCGCCTATTTATATATTATATATAATATGTATATATCTATTAATATTAGTATCTATAATATATATCTATTTTGTTATATATATAATATATAAATAGAGACAGGATCGCACTCTCACTACGTTGCCCAGCCTGGTTTCGAACTCTAGGGCTCAAGCAATCCTCCTGCCTTGGTCTCTCAAAGCACTGGGATTACAGGCATGAGCCACCAAGCACAGCCCCAGGGCCACCAGGACCACCATTAACTTTTATTTCTACCCTTTTTCTGTTTTATTTATGAGTAATATTGTTTTGCCATAAGCTTCCATATGGCTTCACCGATCTTGATTTTATTCAAAAATGATTCCTGTCCTCTACAGGATTACGTGAGCTACGGCTTCCCATGTAGTGACTCTCCTACTATGGTGTTGTCTTCTGTGTGAGGAACTCTCAGTTACTTTTCCATTGGCTCTCGAGTGGGTCTTTACTAAGCTGAATTTTGACGGTAGAGGCATGAACAAATGAATGGAGGCAAAAGGAAGGAAATACTTTTAGGAGACACAGGAGTGCAGTATATGTGTGGATGTAAGGATAGCTGAGCCTGGAAAGGTAAGAATAGGCCATGAAGAATTTGAAAGCAATGAGAACCCCATGAAGAATTTTAAACAGAGGAATGACATCATTAGATAAGCATATCAAGAGGGAGGTTAGCTTGGTGTAAGACTTGGTGGTCGTTGAAGGGCTGGTGAAATAACCTCAAGAAATATAAACAAAGTTGAAACCAAGGTAGTGGCAGTAAAGGTGAAAAGTGGAGAACAAATATGTGAAATGTTTCGGAGGCAGAATTTATAGTACTGGTGCAGTAATGGGGGAGAGAGTTGAGGCGACTCTGAAGGCTTGGGGATGTTGATGCTGTGACTTTGGAATGGCTGAGTCAAGCAAATTAATATAAGCCTTAATACTTACCATTTTTTTTTGTGTGTGGTAAAATCTCTCTTGGCAAGTTTTAAATTTACAATGCATTGCTATTCACTGTAGTCACCATGTTGTACAATAGATCTCCTGAAATACTCCTCTTATCCAACTGGAATTTTGTATCCTTTTCCCCAAATGTTCCTAATCTCCATCTTGCACCCCTAGTCCCTGGTAACCATCATTCTAATTTCTGCTTCTGTAAGTTTCATTTTTTAGATTCAACATATAAGTGAGATCTTGTAGTATTTTTTTTTTTTTGTGCCTAGCTTAGTTTACTTAGCATAATGTCCTCCAGATTCATCCATGTTCCTGCAAAAAGCAGTTTCTCCTTTTTTAAGGCTGAATAATATTCCATTGTGTATGTACACTACATTTTCCTTAATCATTCATCCATTGATGGACACTTAGGTGGATTTCATATTGTGACTGTTGTGAATAATGCTGCAATGAACATGAGAGGGCAGATCTCTCTTCAAAAAATGGATTTATTTTCTTTGAATATATACCCAGAAGTAGAATTGCTGGATCATGTGGTAATTTTATTTTTAATTTTTTGAGGAATTCCATGCTATTTAACACAATGGCTATACTAATTTACATTCCTACCAACAGTGTGCGTAAGTTCCCTTTCCTCCACATCCTTGGCAATGCTTGTTATCTCATCTTTTTCACAATAACTATTCTAATAGGTGTGGGGTGATGTTTCATTGTTGTTTTAATTGGCATGTATCTGATGATTAGAGAGACTGAACATTTTTCCATTTATCTATAGACCATTTGTATGTCTTCTTTTGAAAAATGTTTTCAGGTTCTTTGCCCGTTTTTAAATTGGGTTGTTTGTTTCATCATTATTGAGTCATTTGAGTTTCTTATATATGTTGAATATTACCCCATCACCACAAGTGTGTTTTGCAAATTTTCCCTCCCGTTTCATAGGTTGTCTCTTCACTCTGTTTCCTTTGCTGTGCAGTAGCCTTTTAGTTTATTGCAATCCTATTTTTCTGTTTTTACTTTCATTGCCTGTGCTTTTGAAGTTCTGTGAAATTCTTAACCTCACAATCTGATTGCCGATTCCTAACTGATGGAGCACTCAGGATTTCTAACCCCTTCCTTGTTTCTAACCTCTGGTAAGCACTGATAAATTAATACAGTCGTTATGAAAACATCTGAAATTTCAGCCTGTTAATTGAAGAGTTAACAAAATAGGAATAGTTGTTTCATTTTTTAGTGATAAAATGTTACATTTTTATTAAAATTTTAAAGAAAATACAATGAAGAAAATAAATATAGAAATACATATTGAAAGATATAAAGTATCTCAAGATTATGTGCCCTACCCAGTGATAATTATTGCTAACTTTTTATTATACATCTTTTGTTTTTCCTTTCCTTTTTTCCCCCCTTGGCTTTTTTTTATTTTAAAACATAGTCTTGTTCTGTCACTCAGGCTGGAATGCAGTGGTGCAATCATAGCTCACTGCAGCCTTGATCTCCTGGGCTCAAGTGATCCTCCCTCCTCAGCCTCCCATGTAGATGGGACCACAGTTGCTCTCCACCATACCTGGCCAATTTTACAAATTTTTAGTAGAGACAAGGTCTGGATAGGTTGCCAAGCTGGTCTCAAACTCCTGGCCTCAAGCGATCCTCCTGGCTCCACCTCCCAAAGTGTTAGATTACAGGCATGAGCCACCACACTCAGTCTATTATATATTCTTTAATATTTAAATTGATGCCCTCTGGAGATTTTTCTGTTTACTCTTCATACTATCTAGTAAAAGCATTTTCATTTGACCGTAAAAATATAATCTACATCTTTTAATGTACACAATAGGTTAAGATTTTCATCATGCTCTTTGATGGTCACCTGATTTTCTCTTGGCTCTTCCATAATTTATGTAACTAATCTTCTCCTTATGGTCATTGAGTTATTTCCAATTTTTAAAATTATATATAACATTAGGATGGGTACATTTCTACTTCTACAAATATCTTTGCACATTTGCTGATTATTTCCGTAGCATGCGTTCTCAGATGTGAACTTTCTGGTCAAAAATAGGAATGTTAACATTGTAATGTATGTTGCCACATTTCTGCCATTAGTTTACAAGATTATTACTTTCTTCCTGTACTGTTGCCAAAAATTCTTTTAAAGTGTCTGCAATCTGATAGGCAATCAGAGTCTTACTATTGCCTGGCTCTCCAGGTTCTTATCCATATCTTGGGATCTTGTGCTGCAGCTGCCATGAATAACGAAGACTTCAGAAATCCATCATTTCTGTAAAGGGGATGTTCTTAGTATTGAAAAAAAAATTTGGGTTTTACTGCTTAAATTAACTACTTAGTAGTTACTCTTTTTTTTTGTTTGTTTTGGAGATGGAGTCTTGCTCTGTTGCCCAGACTGGAGTGCAGTGGCATGATCTTGGCTCACTGCAACCTCTGCCTCCTAGACTCAAGTGATTCTCCTGCCTCAGCCTCCTGAGTAGCTGGGATTACAGGCGTGTGCCACCACGCTTGGCTCATTTTTGTATTTTTAGTAGAGATGGGATTTCACCATGTTGGTTAGTCTGTTCTCGAACTCCTGGCCTCATGAACCGCCCACCTTGGCCTCCCAAAGTGCTAGGATTACCGGCGTGAGCCACCATGCTGAGCCAGTAGTCACTCTTTTATCACTGCTAGATGAACCCTTTCTTTAAGTGATACCTCTACTACTAAAATGGTTAGCAAGAATCTCTTCAAGGATATGAAATTCCTGCAAGAACCAATTTCCTCTTCCACTCTTGCCTTAGAGAGATATGTTTTTACAAGAAAACATCTAGTCCTCTTGTTTCAAATATATCAACAATATTTGTTTGTATTCGCTTTTTTTTTTCAGTAGGCAAATTGTTCATGTTTGGCCAGAACTGAATGGATAACATGTTCTATAACTCGGACAACCAGGGCAGAAGACCCTCCCCAAGTGATGATGGTAATAGTGCAAACTGATTCAAAAGCAGACTTCTTGGACAAGGCATGTGACCAGATTCTGTGGCTTGACTTCTGAACTCCAAAGGTTTACTCATACTTGGGGCCTTTCTTCCTTTTTGAATCACACTGACCAGCATTTTGTTGAGAGAACACACACAATGTGGGTAATGTTTCTGTCCCGTCTTTAGTTTTTGATATAGAGACTACTTTGCTGTAAAACTGAACTGTGTAACATTGATTAAGATTACTCAGGGGAACACTATATCACAGCAAATGGTTGAGGCAATTCTAAGACTATTGTATTTCATGTTTCCTTCCTTCTCATTCCGCTGGGGCTGACACCTGGCCACCTCTAGTCCCACTTCTATATCAAAGGTTTAATCATGCAGATACTTTCATGATCAATTTTTTTCCCACTTCTTCACCAGAATGTGAGTTATTTAAGGTCACAGAATCTTTGTAAATGATCTTAGTATTCCCCACACACCTATCCTGCCAAAGGATTTATTTAGGATTCAAGAGATACTGAATGAATTAACTTTTAACTATGAGTCATGCTTCTAAGGAGGAATGCAGACATATCAAAGGTATAATAAATGCCTAAGCTTTTTCCCATTTTACTGCTACCAAGTTTATTCAGGCTACCTCTATTAGCTCACATCTCAAAGCTTTCCCAAGCAACATAGAAGAGATAAATGGCTAACCTTGGCAGTGATTACTCATGGTATTAATCTAGTTCACATCCGAGGAATTTAGTACTACTCAGAATGCATCTGGTGTCTAGTGATTCAAAGGTTGTCATTCTGCCTTTTATCTTGGGAGTGTTCTGGTTCTTTGCTCATGGTCTCACCGTGCCCTGATGCTGGTGGATTCCTTTGTTTAAAAGATTTGGTCTCTTCCATCTTTTGGAGGCAAATCTATAATGGCACTACGTGATGGAGTGCTCTTTGGAATATTGTCTAGGGATGTCATTAAAAGGCACTCTTTACATTACTTGGAAAGTAATGTACCCAGCACCTCCTTGAATCATCTGTGTTTACAATCATTTTCCAAAAAAGTGGGTTAAGATGAGCTCTATCCTTATGACTATGCTGTCACTTTTGAACCAGGATGAGAAATCCATTTGATGGGACTATTCATGTTGGGATCTAGGACTATGAGCAGACAAAAAAAAAAAAAAAAAAAAAAAAATTTGAAGTTTGGGTTTATTTTTCTTCTTCTGCATCTGATGGTATAGCTTTCTTTGGAATACTTACATTTCTAACAATTTCCTTGTCCTGAGTCAAATAACAATTATGGACAGATCTATTCTTCATCTTGAACTTCTGGAATTCTTGGCAAAGAGAAAATGTAGCAATTTATGACATTTGATCTACAGGAAACCTATTATTTAGGAAAGATGAGAGAACAATAAATGGAGGAAAGTATTTTTCTGGACCAAATGCAGTATTTTTAAATTTTTAATCTGGTCATTGGTCATTGGTCCAAGTCAGTTTCCCAAACCTTACTGCACATTAGAAATCCCTGGGGTGTTTTAATAACAGTATTAATAAATGATAAATAAAGGCAAAGGTCTTATCTCAAGTACTCTGATTCAAATTTGGGGTTTGTGCCTGGTTGTTTTGATTTTTAAAGCCCTTAAATAATTCTAATATGCAGCCTGATTTAAAACCACTGGTCTATGTAGCAACATCCCATGATATTCTGATATTGCCTTTAATATTTTCTTAACAAATTTTCATAGTTTTCTTAGTTGCTCACAGTGTTTGCAATATTCTTCTGGCATCTCTCAAACATCTTTCATGTTAAAATAAGAAAAATATGCTTTTCATAAAGAAGAGCCCCCACTGTGGATATGTAATTTCTCTCACAATGTGTTTTTATGACGTGGAAGGAGTGTGGCTCAAGTATGCAGGGATGGCAATGATTGCTTTGGCTTGGGCTTCTCTGGTTTTGTCAGGACTTTGTATCGGGGTCCTTATGTGTTTTCAAACTTATCGTCGATCTGCTAATAAATTCAAATTGTTTTGTACCAGAAAATCCTGAATGATTTGCTTTCAGTCGGTTAGAAACAACTATTATGCCTCGCTGAGATGAGTTCCTCCTAACCAGATGCTCTTCAAAGTAAATCACCTCTTGGGCAGCCCAGTCACTATTTCCTTCTCTGTGACTGTTGGCACACAGGTCTACAGGAAGGCCACGTGACACTTCTACTCTGTAAAAATAAATGAGATAATAAGTGACAAGGTCTCCCGAAAACACCTTTTCAACTTTAGGGTCAATGAACTCTGATCTAAATAAACACTTTAGCGGACCACCAAAAGTCAGACACAACAGCCAGAAGAATAGTCCTAATTTCTTCTGTAATTTTATTTGTTGCAGTTAATTAGAGCCACATAAAATTGTTATGCAGGGACATGGACTCCTAGCATGTGCACATACATACAGTATTTCATTAAAAATATACTACTGATGTCTAAGGCCCAGCACTGGCTGTCATAGGGACTATACACTTTCATCAGACATAATCTCTTAAGAAACTTACTATCTATCATCAGAGAGCTAAGGTAGGTACACACAGATGTGAAATACAAGGTCACAGTGATAAGGGCTATGAGACTGGTACGCACTAAATCCTAGTATTTAGACAGAGTCTTTTCCACCAGCATGAGATGAGGAGAAGAGAGTTTCTCAATGAGATCCTGGGCAAAATCATGAAGGTGAGACAACTTTGAATGCTATATTTGAAGAAATTAGGGCAGCTCTTGATAATTCTCTGTCTCATTCTGGCTCCCAAATTACTAAACCAAATACATTTTTCTTCCTAAATCATGATTGAGTGTATTAATTTGTCCCCATTTCTTCTGCCTCCTGGTCTAAGCTATCACCATTTTTCCACTGAACAACTAAAAAAGCCCCTTGACTCTTCTCCAAGTATCCATTCTTGGCCATTGCAATGACTATAATCGATTAAAAATATATACATATACATATTTTAAATAATTGTAGGTTTACACACAGTTATAAGAAATACCATGAAGAGATCCTTTGTACTCTTTACCCAGCTTCCTTCAATAGTAATATCTTGCAAAACTATAGAACAATTTCAGTAGCAAGATATTGACATTGATACAATCCACCAATCCGGTTTAGATTTTTCCAGTTTGACTTCTGCTCCTGTGTGTGTGTGAACACCTGTTTGTGTGTGTGTGTGTGTGTACATGTGTGTATTTATTTATATACAGTTTTGTCACATATGTAGGCTTCTATATCTACCACCACAGTCAAAATACAGACCAGCCCCATTACCGCAATGATCCCTCTTTTTGCCTTTTTATAATTACCCACCTCTTTCCCATTACCTGCTTCTCCCCATCCCTAAACCCCAGCAACCACTCATCTGTCTTACCTTTCTAGAATTTTTTTCATTTCAAGAAAATTATATAAATGGAATTATTTTGGAATTGGCTTTTATCATTTAGCATGATTTCCTTGAGATTCAATCAAGTAGTTGTGTGTCTCAATAGCTCACACTTTTAAATTGCTGACTAATATCCCATCATATTCCATGATATGGATACATCAGTTTGTTTAACCAGTCACCCATCGAGGGCCACTTGAGTTGTTTTCAGTTTTGAGGTCTTAAGAATAAATTGGCTATAAATGTTTATGTACAGGTTTTTGTGTGACTGAACTTTCCTATCTCTGGGATTAAATGCTCAAAAGTGCATTGTTTAGTATAGTAATTGCACAAATCATCTCGTATCAATACAATCTGATTGGGTCACTCTCTTTTTTAAATCCTTTCAATGACCTCCCATTACTCTTAGCATCAAGCCAGCAGGCCTAGAAAGCCTTGAAATACCTGGGGTCTGCTCTTCTTATCCAATGCCTCGCCCTTCCTCTTCCTCTGGCTGCTTCTCTTCTTCAGACACGTGGGCTTTCCTTGCATTTCTTAAATGTGCCGTGCTTTTATCCTACCATAGAGCTTTGGAACATACAGTTCACTCTTAGAATTTTTCACTCTTCCCTTCTCTATGCTGTTTAATTAAACTCCCTCTCTTCTTTCATATTTCAGCTCAAATCTCATCCTTGTGGGGGATATCTTCAATGCTACCAGATATCTCCCTCTATTACATGTCCTGATGACACTTTATTATTTCCTTCTGTAGCAAGAGTTTGTATGATGTACTTGTTCTTGTGAATATTTGTTTCATGGCCATTTCTTTTTATTGGATCACTGCTCTGTGTATCTCACTGTTATTAGTGAAAACTCCTTCGTAGAACCTATGACTTGCTACTGACCAATAGAATATGACAAAGATGATGAGACGCCACTTCTGTGATTCCATTCCTGCAATTCCATGATTGTGTTACATCATTCTCACTTAGCAACTGAGACAGGGGGAGAAAGGGAAAAAGAGGGAGAGACAGAGAGAGAGAGAGAGAGAGAGAGTGAGAGAGAGAGAGGATTTGTCTTTCTGGCTTTTATGAAGTAAGCAACCCTGTTGAGACAGTCCATCTGACAAGGTACTGCAGGTGGCTTCTAGAAGCTGTGAGCAGGTTCCAGCTGATGGCCCCCAAAAAAAAAATGCTGGGGTCTTCAGTCATACATCCTTAAGGAAATGAATTCTGGCACAAACATGAGAGAGCTTTGAAGCAGATTCTAACCCAATTGAGTTTCCAGATGAAAATGGAGTCTAGACAAAACCTTTATCTCAGCCTTGTGAGATTCTGCACAGAGGACCCAGGTAAGCCGTGCCTAGACTCCTGATTTCTCCAAAACTGTAAGATAGAAGCTAACCCACTAGCTTCTGTTACAACACTGTAACCATGAGTTATGGTCAATGGCATGGGCACTGAAGTGTTACATATACTACCTTTGGGCTTTTCTCATAAAAACTTTCTGCAAGATCCTCCCCAACATTTTCCCCAGGTTATTAGCCTGATTTTGAGCAGGGATTCAAGTACAGTAGACTGTAGGGACTCTGGGCTGTTAATCATTGCATGGGCAGTTGCCTACGGAATGTCTGAAATTATTTATTATAATGTATCACTATGAATTTGGTGATTTCTTATTAAATTAGCTGATATTATTTAGTTTAGCCAAAACCCTGTATTCTTGAGATATAGAAATAATATGTGACAGCAGGATCAGGGCTTAATACCTTAACAATGAAAGCTGGAAAAATATCAGAAGGTAGGATGACAAAACAACAGGATTACCTTTAAAAATCTCCCTAATGTCTAAAGGAATGAAAATTAGACTGTTCTTATTCTATTACTAGGTCACTTAGTAATAATTCATACAAAAATTGCTGTTTTTCACACCTTTGAAACATTTTTCCTTGGAAATAACTTCAGGTCATGAAGATAAATTTGCCTGACCTTCAGAGTGCCCTTCTTGGGAATGTTTCTCTTCTTTGCTGGTTCTACCATATTTTTACAAATAATGAGAAACATCAGGTAAGCTAGCCAATAGACCATTGCATTTCACATTCACTCTCAAACCACTAAGCAGAACAAGTGGTTCCTTTTGTAGCCTCATCAGTGCTTTCTATAACATAATCTCCCATCCTTATGTATAGCAAAGACAGTCTCTTTCTTTCAGCTGTTTGCTTTCTAATTGCATTGAGTTCTTCGGCCAATTTAGCAATCACAGCACTAACAGAATATTTCCATGCAACCCAAAACAATGTCATAAACTGCAAAAGACAAAGTAAAACTACAATGACAAAGGAATTGATGATTTTTTTTTAATTGTAGGAGATGTACTTTACATCAAATTAGTAGAACACTAATGTGATGGTTGGTCTGCAACTGATTAGACTTGCTATGAATTTTTTTACCCTGTCATCCAGTTCATAGTTCTTATGCTCTCCATCTCAAATTTAGTCATCTTAAAATACACTAAGCTTTCTTTTTTTTTTTTTTGAGATGGAATCTCACTGTGTCGCCCAGGCTGGAGTGTAATGGCGTGATCTTGGCTCACTGCAACCTCTCACTCCCAGGTTAAAGTTATTCTTCTGCCTCAGCCTCCTGAGTAGCTGGGATTATAGGCGCGTGCCACCATGCCTGGCTAATTTTTGTATTTTTAGTAGAGACAGGGTTTCACCTTGTTGGTCAGGCTGGTCTTGAACTCCTGACCTTGTGATCCACCTGCCTCAGCTTCCCAAAGTGCTGGGATTACAGGCATGAGCCACTGTGCCTGGCAAAATCCACTAAACTTTTGCATAATAAAGCTCATGGCACTGATGTCCATAGGGGTACATTTTTCCCTCACATCCACCATTATATCATCTCAAGGGATAACATTTCCTGCAAGCCAACTTTCTTGCAAGTCAATATGTATTGTTGACTTAATCTGAATTACTACTTATATATTTTGATGGGCCAATTCTGTTTCCTTAATGGTAAAAAGTTTGTTGTTATACAGTTTGATGATTTAATACTCTATTGACATTAAGTAATTTTAATAATATGGAGATATCTTTCCAATGTTATAATGATGGATTATTCTTACAACAAAAATACATGGCTAATTTGTTTTTTTAAATAAAGACCAATAAAATAAAGTCTAAAATAAACAAGAAGTCTATTATGAAATGATGAAGAGATTTATTAGCTTTCATTATGGTCGCAAAATGTGGTCTAATTAACAGCACTAAACTGAGTCAATGCTAAAGTCATAGGGACTAAAATAGAATAAACAAACAAACAAATAAATAAATGATTATGCTGTTTCTTGGCATCAATTATGCCATATATGTGTGTGTGTGTGTGTATATATATATACACACATATATATATTTCAAATCCATTTGGACTCTGTCCCCAAAATTATTTTATGTTGAATGAAATCTAAACTCATTCTTTAAAAATTAAGACATTTCCACTGACCCCACAGAAATACACACACACATACACAAACAGTGACTATTATGAACACCTCTGTGCACACAAACTAGAAAATGTAGAAGAAATGGATAAATTCCTGGACACATGCAACCTCTGAAGACTGAGCCAGGAAGAAATTGAATCCCTGAACTCAGCAATGAGTTCTCAAATGGAATGAGTAATAAAAAGCCCACCAACCAGAAAAATCCCAAGACCAGATGGATTTACAGCCAAATTCTACCAGAGGTATAAAGAAGAGCTGGTACCAATCCTGCTGAAACTCTTCCAAAAAAACTGAGGAAGAAGGACTTCTCATCGCCTCATTCTATGAGGCTAGCGTCATCCTGATAACAAAACCTGGCAGAGACACAACAAAAAAAGAAAACTTCAGGCCAATATTTTTAATGAACATAGATAAAAATTCCTCAACAAAATGCAAGCAAACTGAATCCAGCAGCACATAAAAAAGCTAATCAACTACAATCAAGTAGGCTTTATCCACAGAATATGAGGTTGGTTCAACATATGCAAATCAATAAATGTGATTCATTATATCAACAGAGCTAAGGACAAAAACTACAATTACTCAATAGATGCAGAAAGGCTTTCAATAAAATTCAACATTCCTTCATGTTGGAAACCCTTCACAAACTATGCACTGAAAGAACATATTTCAAAATAATAAGAGTCATCTATGACAGACCCACAGCCAACATTATACTGAAAGGAGAAAAACTGGAAGCATTCCCCTTGAAAACTGGCACAAGACAAGGTTGCCCTCTCTTATCACTCCTATTCAACATGATATTGAAAATCTTAGCCAGAGAAATCAGGCAAGAGAAAGAAAGAATGGGCATCCAAATAAAAGAAGTCAGAGTATCCCTGTTTGCAGACAACATGATTCTATATCTAGAAAACTTCATAGTCTCTGCCCAAAAGCTCTTTGGGCTGATAAACAACTTCAGTAAATTTCAGAGTACAAAATCTACATAAAAAATCTGTAGCATTTCTATACCCCAACAACATCCAAATAGGCAAATCAGGAACACAATCTAATTCACAATTGCCACAAAAAGAATAAAATACCTAGGAATACAGCTAACAAGGGAGGTGAAAGATCTCTACAACAAGAATTACAAAACACTGCTGAAAGAAATCAGAGATGACACAAACAAGTAGAAAAACATTCCATGCTCATGGATAGGAAGAATCAATACTGTTAAAATGGCCTTACTGCCCAAAGCAAATGACAGATTCAATGCTATTCCTATTAAACTACCAATGACATTGTATTAGTCTGTTCTCACACTGCTAGGAACAAATACCCAAGACTGGGTAATTTTTAAAGGAAAGAGATTTAATTGACTCACAGTTCCACGTTGCTAGGGAGGCCCCACAAAACTTACGATCATGGTGGAAGTCAAAGGAGAAGCAGGCACTTTCTTCACAAGGTGGCAGAATGGAAAAATGCTGCGTGAAGGGGGATGAGCCCCTTATAAAGCCATCAGATCTCATGCGAACTTCATTCACTGGTCCCACCCTTGACATGTGGGGATTATGGGATTATGGGAATTACAATTTAAGATGAGATTTAGGTGGGGAGACAAAGACTAACCATATTGAACGTTCTTCACAGAATTAGAAAAAAAAATTTTTTAAATTCATATGGAACCAAAAAAGAGTTGAATAGCCGAGGCAATTCTAAGCAAAAAGAACAAAGCCAAAAGCATCATTTTATTCTACTTCCAATCCTACTATAGGGATACAGTAACCAAAACATCAAGGTATTGGTACAGAAACAGACACATAGACCAATGGAACAGAATACAGAACCAGAAATGAAGCCACACACTTACAACCATCTGAATTTGGACAAAGCTGACACAAGCAATGAAAAAAGGACTCCTCATTCGATAATGGTGCTGGGATAACTTGCTAGTCATGTGCAGAAGACTGAAACTAGACCGCTACCTTATGCCACATACAAAAATCAACTTAAGATGGATTAAAGACTTAAATGTAAAACCTAAAACTATAAAAACTCTGGAAGATAGCCAAGGAAATATCATTATGGACACAGGACTTGGCAAAGATTTCATGATGAAGACACCAAAAGCAAACAACAAAACCAAAAATTGAAAAATGGGATCTAATTAAAAGAAACAGATAATCAACAGAATAACAGACAAACTACAGAATGAGAGAAAATATGTGTAAGCTATGCATCTGACAATGGCCCAGTATCCAGAACCTATAAGAAACTGAAACAATTTTACAGACGAGAAAGAAATAATCCCATTAAAAAGTGGGCAAAAGGCTGGGCCAGGCTCGGTGGCTGAAGCCTGTAATCCCAGCACTTTGGGAGGCTGAGGCGGGAGGATCACAAGGTCAGGAGTTTGAGACCAGCCTGGTCAATATGGTGAAACCCCATCTCTACTAAAGATACAAAAATTAGCCAGGCATGGTGGCAGGTGCCTGTAGTCCCAGCTATTCGGGAGGCTGAGGCGGGAGAATCGCTTGAACCCGGGAGGCAGAGGTTTCAGTGAGCCAAGATCATGCCATCGCACTCCAGCCTGGGAGACAGGCAAGATTCTATCTCAAAAAAAAAAAAAAAAAAAAAAAGAAAAAAAGTGGGCAAAGGACACGAACAGACACTTCTCAAAAGAATACATTCATGCAGCCAACAAACATGAAAAAATGCGCAACATCATTGATCATTAGAGAAATGCAAATCAAAAGCACAATGAGATACCATCTCATACCAGTCAGAATGGCTATTACTAAAAAGTCAACAAATAACCCATGCTGGTGGGGCTGTGGAGAAAAGGGAAAGCTTCTACACTGCTGGTGGTAATGTAAGTGTAAGTGTGTTCAGCTACTGTGGAAGGCAATGTGACAATTCCTCAAAGAACTTAAAACAGAATTACCATCAGACCCAGCAATCTCATTACTGGGTATATACCCACAGGAATAGAAACTGCTCTTCCATAAAGATACATGGATGCGTGTATTAATTGCAACACTATTTACAATAGCAAAAACATGGAATCAACCTAAATGCCCATCAGTGACAGACTGGATAAAGAAAATGTTACATACATCATGAAATACTATGCAACTGTAAAAAGGACGAGATCACGTCCTTTGCAGCAACATGGTTGGCGCCAGAGGCCATTATCCTAAGCAAGGTAACACAGAAAAATAAATACCACATGTTCGCATTTGTAAGTGGGAGCTAAACAACAAGGACACATGGGTACTAGAAGGGGAACAGCGGACACGGGGGCCCACTTGAAGGTGGAGGGTGGGAGGAGGGAGAGGATCACAAAAAATACCTATCAGGTACTGTGCTTATTACTCAGGTGATGAAATTATCTCACACCAAACCCCCATGACACCCAGCTTACCTATATAACAGCTTTGAACATGTGCCCCTGAAAATAAAATAAAAGTTAAAATAAAAGGACTAACCAAAAAAAAGTTTGCTGTTTTTTTCCTTCAGTTTTACCTCTTAGCTTTTTTTGTTTTTCAACTTTCCTAGTTTACTTCGTATTCTTTCTGATTTCTGC